TGGGAGCCCCTACACAACTGGAACCCTGACTCCACCAAAGTGGGACAGGTTTAAGGTATCCTAGTAACATTTCAGAAATAACCAAAGGAAAGGGGGTTGGCGACTCAGCATGGCAGAGTACTTGAATTTCAGATTGTTACAGGACACTGAGTGGGGCACCCATGAATGCCCAAACTTGCCTGCTCTAAATAAGTTCTGCCACCTGCCCCATCAAGACATAACATGTAGACCTTGAATGGAAAGGAATTTTAATACAACTAGTGTGCAATACAGAAAAGACAAAGTTTCCAAATCAAGCACCCAGAGTTACCCATCCCCTCATGGGTAAAAATCCAGCCAAACAGGATTGGCCCAAAGTAAGGCCTGAAATCCTGCCACAAATCTAAAACGCCCTCTAGCGGGCACCCATGGAAGAGGGTCAAAAACAGCCCGACAAGTCTGAGATGAAAAGAGCAAAATCAAAATTGGTATAAAAGCTGCCATTGTTAACCTCACCATGCATCTCATACCCGCACCTGTTTCAAACAGACAAGGGTGAAGAAGCAAGAGCAGATTTTTCACCTGCCTCTCTGCTCCATGTGCCTCCTTCTTGCAGCTTCCTTCTTTAATCTCTTCTCTAGCTTCTCATCCCTGTTCAACTCCACCCTCCTTTGGGTGGAACAGGGAACCTGGAAGAAGCACCCCTTTTCCTGGGACCATCCTGTTACAGGACTTCTCATCCCATGCACACTCTTAAGCTTTTAGTACACATGTAATATCTTTTTATCAGCCATAGACATAGATGTGATTTTGTGGGGGTCACCCGGATGGTGCAAGGGGTTAAAGCACAGCACAATGAAGCTATTCACAGCTACTGCAGCACTAATCTCAAGCCAAGGAGGTGGCCCACATGGCGCAGCAGAACTCTCCTGTCTCGCCCACAGCTCCCCTCTGCAGTGTATTTCAGTCAATTTGCCTATTCTGCTCTTCACTCTGTCTCTGGAGAATCCTCTTACCCCCAGCACCTCTGGCCTGTTCCCCAGTTTTTGTGTGCATATATAAGTAATTATTTTTTTAAAAGGTGTGGTTTTGTGTATTTTCAAATATAAAGGCATTAGAGACTATGCAACTTTATTCATAAAACATTATGATTTACTATGTTAATACTGTTCCTCTGGTTCATTGTTTTCCACAGATGCATGGTTTTCTAGTGCGTGCAACTATTATCCATTTTCCTGATGGATTCCAGTTTTCTAATATAAATAATGCTGCATTTATGAGCAAGTGTTCTTGAGGTTGAGATTATGTGTTGTGTAGGGCAATACTATACTGATAAAGAAAGGGGAATCACGGAGTAGACTACACAATGCAAGATGTTACTGAACAAGCAAGATCCTGCCCTTTTTGATAGAATAATCACACAGCATCAGTTACAAGGAGACAAACTAAAGAATGTGGTTTTGTCTTCTAGGGCTTCAGGGGGACATGAGTTGGCTGATTGGATGATTCTTATTTGCTTGATGACCACAAGTGTTGAAACCATACTCCAGACACCAGGCCATGGTTCTAATCTTATCAACAAGGCATGTCACTGATCATCCTCTGGGGTTCCTGGTCATAATTGGTCCTTGGTCCCCTGGGCATTCCCAGTCATACCTCATGATGCATGAATTGAGAGTAAATATATGCATCGATCCTTAGGTATCTTACCTCCTCCTCCCCTCCCCCACCCAGGTGTTCCTAGTCATCATCATTGCTCACCCTTCCCAGGTTGATCAAGGATTTCTGCTCTTGATTGAAAGGCGCCTCATAAGGTTAGCTATGACTGACTGACCGGGAAGTTCTGACCTTGTGTAGGAATATAAAACTGCAGGTGACAATAATGGTAGCTGAACAAACTGCGTAGGTTTGGCTGACCCACAATTATGAGTTTTTCTAAAGCACACAATGCTATATGTCAGATTTATAAAAATTTTAAAAATTAAAAAAAATTTTTTTTCTGTGCCTTCCTGGTGGCACAGTGGTTGAAGTCTCGGTGCTATCAAGCTATCGCCAGCTACTGTGGCATGAGTTTGATCCCCAGTCAGGGAGCTGACACACATGGTGTAGCTGCTGTCTCGCCCAGAGCTGTCTCACCCCTTGCACCTCTAGCCTATACCCCAGTTCTTGAATGCCTAAATTTTAAAAAATCTTTAAAGAAAATTCTCTAAAGCATAGCCAGGAGTAGAGGAATTCTTGGAATTGCTGACTTGTCAGGAATTTGAAACTTCAGTTTACTAGATGCATGTCCAGATAGCACTCCAAGGTCGTTATACCAATCACATTTTCAAAAGTACTAGAAAATTTCAACTAATTCTTACTATCATGGAATAGCCAGAATTTATCTGCCAGGCAGTGGAATGTGAAACAATATGCTGTTGTGAATTTAATTTCTATTTTTGATTGCTAGTACGGATAAACATTTTTTTTCTTTTTCTGGCCACTTTAGTTTCCTGTTCTGTAATGTCCCTTTTTGTAGACTTTGCCTATTTTTTTTCCTTATAGATATGTACTGGTGCTTTGTTGGTCATATGCTTGTAGATACTTTCTCCTATGACTGCCAATAGCTTTATAGTGCTGAGACTTAACCTTTTGCACCCTCAGGGAGGCCCTCTAGTGGGTAGCTTTTAATTTTACCTTGTGGTGTCATTTAACACAAATTCCTAATTTAATGAGGTTAAATAGTCATGACACCTATATGGCTTTTCCTTATTTATCCTGTGGTTATCCAAATATTCCTTATTTTCTATTATGTTTAAAGTATGTGTTAGGGTTGTATACACCTGGAATGATATATGTATTTAAGATTTTTAAAAAAAGATTTATTTATCCATGTATACAAAACTGGGTTACAGGCCAGAGATACAGGATGGGGACGTGTGATAGGATTCACCAGAAATAGAATGGGGAGCAGAGCAGGCAGATCTACTGAAGTACACTGCTGAGGGGAACAGTGAGGTGAGACTGGGGAGGTCTGCTGTGCCATGTGGGTCACCTCCCTAGCCAGGGATCAAACTCACGCTGCAGTGGCTGGTGATAGCTTGATAGTGCTGAGCGATGAGACCTTAACCTCTACCTCATCAATGAGGCCCAGGAATGGTTTTTATATATAGTGAAGTAGGATCCAACTTCATTTCCTCATATAGATGACCAGTCGTTAGCTCCATTTATTCCTTGTTTGTCTACCAGTTTTCTTTTTTTTTTTAAAGATTTATT